ATGATTATTTGCAGACGATTTTATGGAAAAAGCAGATCCTAAAGCATTTGCAATATCAAATTTCGATGTGGCTAATTTTCCATTAGTTTTCAGATGTCCCATTGTTTTGAATTATGTTTACCACTGATCCGTTTAATCATATCCCAGACCTTTCTAGTGGATGTATCAGAATTTAATTTGGACACATAAGATCTCCAAGACAGTATTTTGTGTAAGCGTACAGCACGACGGGCTTTCGACCGAATAATTTTGTAGTTGTTTAAGCTATCGCTTGTGGGGTTGTTTTTGAATTGCCTCAAAGCGGTTTTCCTATTACGAATAGCTTTATCACAATCTTCATTAATCAAAGTTTTTTTTATTTTCTTTTGGACTTTGGTATACATTCTTCGGTTATCTCAAGAAGTTCGGTAGTAAAGGATTATATTGGGTCTTCTAAAATGGTATTCAGATGTTCAAATTTACTCCGATCTGCTTTATATAATTTCCTATGGGGTACATGATCGCTCTTGGTGGTCCACCATTCCTTAGAAATATTGGGAAGTGGTCGCTGCCACAGAGATCGTCATGAAACGTACATTCGAAATCGAGTAACAAAGATGGCTGACATAAAGTGAAAACCAAGGTGCGAGAATGTTCCGGAAGAGGGATGCCAATAAGTTGGAGATTTATTATTGTAAAGACAAAGGTTATTTTCCAATATGAATTTTTCAATTTTGTTTCCTCGATCATTAGTGTCGGGTGAACCCAAAAGGTTGTTATGATCATAAATGTCAAACAGAAAGCTTGTCGCACGCCATGTCAGTCTGTGTAGCTGCATAACATGTCTGTGTAACAGCATCACGGGTCTCCACGGTCGTAATACAAACCTTTGCACGACTGACATAGGATGGACCCGACACAGGTATTTCGACAATCTTTCTTACTTCGGGGAAAGTAATGCTTGTGTACTTGACGCGAAGGATCTCTTTTTCCTTGCGCCAAGCAGGACAATCTCTTGAATATGCTGGATGCCTTCCACCAAAGTTCTCAGTGAACTCGACCATCACAAGCACCATCTGCCGACCCATCTTCTTGGCCTACAACTCCACACTTTGCACAATCTTTCTGTTTCTTGCAGTTATCGGAATGATGACCAAATTTCTGGCAACCAAAGCATCGCAGTGGAGTTGGGATGTAAACATCAACACCAACACTTTCGGAGCCAACCTTTACACGTTTTGGTAAAATTCGGGTGTTTAAAGTAACAACGAAAGTGTTGGTGTGTCATGGATGCTGCCATCTCGCTTCACCCTGATCCGTTTAACATGGTTGATTTCTGTTGTTTTTCCTTGAAATAACTGAGGATGTTCTCCTCGCTCTCTCCCTGAAGAGATGGACAGCGTATAACGCCTTTTGATGTGTTCAGGGAGGAATGAGGGACAACCTGCACAACTATCTCAAAAAACTTTGTCATTCCCAAGAGGTTCTTAGCCTGTTGCTGGCGACTTCTTGAAGGAGTTCGCCAGATCGCAGTTTTTTGACACTCTTTGGAGTACCACATGTTGACAGGATAGTCTTTTCTATTACGAATGGTGAAACGGATGACATTGGTTTATCCTTTTCCAACGATCGTATTACGATGAATTGGTTGAAATCTTGGTCATCTTCTGAGTCTGATGATGAAAGACAAGGTCATTTATTTAGATTTTTTTGTTCCCATAGTTAGGTGTATAGATTTTCATAACCCGTGCTCCTCACCCACCTCGGAGGCATACAAGGGGACACTACTAACGGTACGGATCCCCGGTACATGAGTGCCAAGGTTGCACAGGTAGTATATTCGAAAGAATAGAACGCTCTCGATTGATCATTAAGCCACTGCCTTCTGGGATACAACTGTAAAATAAAAGCTACAAAAATCGATGGGTATACGTTTGAGTGAAATAAAAAGAAAAAAGGAAACATAACCAGCCGATTGATTATTGAGGACCACAATTATCACCCGTCTTGCTGAGATAGAGGCCAAAGTGATGTATTGGGGGAAGGCAATGCGAGATTGCTTGAGAATGAAGCGCAAACCACATAACTGCCCCTCAACCACCAGGATCCTTTTTCCCAATACTAACCGGACGCAACCCAGACAAACAGGTTGCCCCTTTTAGTGGACTTTTACCACAAGCAGTAGGACACAGCGGATATATTCTAAGCCCTATCCGCAGTGAAGACATAAAACATAATTTCGTCATCAACAGGACACCGGAAATAGGTCACCGTGATAATCGACTAAAAGGTCAACACTCACATTGATTATTATGTACATAATGACTGCAAATACTGTGTAATGTAGGACTGGCCATATATTTTAACATGACCGAATGTCATTTATATCAGTGTTTGTTTTTTTTTTTGCACTATTGTTGTAACTGTTTAATTTTCAATAAGCCCATGTGAGGAAAGCTATGAGTGCTGTCCCCTGGCCAAGACATAACAACCTTTATTACGGTACCAACTACCTTCATAATACAACATTGTGGTGTCCCTGTTGTCAGTATGATGTAACCGTATTTGGTGTCTTGTCGAGTTATTTTTGAAGTATAGTATAAGTCAATGTATAGCACTATAAAGTGGTCAACATCTCAGCACCATCAAAAGGCTACTGGTACGAATATATCTCAACCTCTCACTAACACACACTGAACACATGTAATAACCTTGCAAACCTATGGATGTCATTCTCAAATGATCAATGAAACATCTCCAAACTGAAACAGTCATTTACCCAGCAACAAATAGCGATGCAAATGTTCTTTTTCGGAGGTCCAAAGTAGCCGCCTATCAGCTATTATTTATTGCTTTCAATATTGAGGGCATAACACTACGTATTTTAATAGGATCAACCACTTTTTAATCAATCTAAAACAGTAGTCACAGACAAAGTAGGTAATTTGGCACAATGTACAGACGATATAATTTCATGGAGCACAAAAACATAACAGAGATGATAGTTGCAACATCAGGAACACTAAACATAATTGAAATTCGAGTGTACTAGTGTGGTTTTAAAATCTCGAAAAGTAGTTCCGTTAATATCCTCTAGAATGAGTTTGGACCCTACAAACTCCTGGAAGCCACATACTGGACATGAAGCAGAAATATGCAAAATATCAATAACCTCACTAACGTATCGGGCAACAATCACTGATTGGCCAACAATATAGCACTTACGATACCGGCTGTCGACTATTTTTAACACTAATCGGTCTCAAAATGCAGTTTGGGAAATTGTATATTTGTGATCAAGATGTCCGACAGCATATCTGGTGTAGTATTGAAAGAGTGTGATGATGTGTTGTGTGAACCATTTTCGACATTGAACGATATCTTTCCATGTACTCTCAAAAGGAGCAAATCTAATACTATCTGTTACTATTTGCGTCCTACTTTAAAGTCTTTTGAAAAGTTTGTAAATTCATTTATATGCGATAAGCAACACGGGTTTTATTCTAAAATGTCTTTTCAAACCTTGCATACTTCACCGATCGGTTTTTCAAAACATTTCACGATTTATACTGATTTTCGAAGCTTTGTGACAAATTAAACCACCGATTATTATTGCACAAGTTAAAATAGTACGGTATAGAAGGTAGCATGTTAGATTGAATTACTACTTACTTGACAGACCGCTTCCAGCGTGTTACTCTTACCTGGGCAACATCGAGTTGGTGTAAGGTAATTTCCCGTGTGCCCCAAGGCTCGATACCTGAGCCTAAATTTTCCGTTGTCTTTTTATCAATGATCTGCCATCGGTCGTAAATTCCTATGTCTGCCCCCGACAGAATTTTTTAAGTGCATGAAGACTGTCAGAATGTGAGCCGCTCCAACGCCACATAAATAAAAATGAAAGTGAATCTAAATAGGTGTTATCAGATGATTTTTAACGAACAAGAAGACATGTTTCGAGTTTAGTCACAGTATGAATGGCTAGAACCTGAAGAATGAAACGTGTGTGAAAGACCTTCATGTCTGGCTGACCACAACAAAGCATGTACAAGTTTTACACAAACTTTTGTAAAGGTATTTTCACAAAAGTCTTGTCTTGTAAGGCGTCAGTTAGAATACTGTTGTCAGATCAGGTCTCCAAACCAAATATCCTTAATTCGCTAAGTGGAAATTGTCTAGTAAAAATTATGGAGATTTTTATGTTTAAAGGCACACATCTATTTAAGTTCCATGTCTTACGCTGACACTTTCAGACATTTTCCTTTTTCCTAGCCCCGATCTCAGGCGGGCATTTAAGACTATGTATTTCTTTTCAAATGTTTAAATAGTGCTTTTCACTGCCTATATATAATCAATCAAATGTGGTTTTAGTCCCTGGTCGTAATCTGCGGTCAATTAATTTAAATCGGTTTTACTGCCAGAAAAGACGAACTGACGTTAGAAAGTTCAATGGTTTAAACAGAATTCAATCCAATTTGATTTTGCACTAGACTGGGAAGATTTTTTTAATCTCTGCCAGAGAACAAGGTACACGTAAAGAGTATTTTTCATCACTAGTTCTATTTGCATTACTCAAGTGTATCTTTAGTCTGTTTTTATCTATTCTGTAAGTGGACCCTTGGGTCTGTAGAATTGGGAGTAAATAAATTCGTTGCGTTACGGATCAGTGTGTGTGTATCCTATGATGGTCTTTGCTTCTTATCTCAGTAACATGTATGATAAAACTTATCATAGAAAAGTGATGAGCAAATATTGCTACCCTATATAACCTACGTCGGTTGGTTTCCACCGAAAGATATCATAATAATATACAAAAGTAATAACGCGTGAAGTGGAAGGTCGTGGGGAAAGGGGTAGAAATAGTAATACAGATATGTCACATCGTCACATTTGTCTAGAGAAGCGTGAGGAGCAGAGTAATCCTACCGCATCATCAATATCATAGGGCTTGAGGACAAGTAACATCGGTGTTTCTCTTTTAACTACATCTGTAAAATAAATCGATAGAAGTAGCTACCATCATGAAGGACAGAGAGACATGGAAGAATGGTCTGGAGTTTTTGTTTTCCTGTATTGGTGTGAGTGTCGGGCTAGGAAACATCTGGAGATTTCCCTACATATGTTACAAGAATGGTGGAGGCAAGTACAACTTTAAGAAATCAACATTATATCAATTTCAGTATAACACGTTACATAATTAGATATTCCTGGATTCCTAGAGTTGCATACTGACTTGACTGATTTGAGTCGCAAAGTTTGACCACGAAACATAATAGAAATTATATGAAAATACCTAGCGGAGCGTAAACTAATCACAACAGGCTATATCTAGACTGGAATGGATCTACACGTAAACTGCTAGTACATTAGCGTTCAGACAAGTTTGTGAGAAATCCCCGATGTGACCAGAATAGGAACTGTAAGCACCTGATTATTTAAAATTTTTAACAATATTCTTATGGTAAGATATTTTTCCAAAGATCAGGCGATGGGATTACCTTTACATAAATTTGTGATAAAAGTCATGTTTACAATTATAGAGGTATTAATGCTATTAGGTATGTAGCAAGCTTCTCTTTTGAATAAGCGATTATTGTTGTTTTGTTGAAAATGCTTTAATAACTAAATCTTAACAACGTGTGTCGATCATCGAAAGGTATTTGGTAGCATCTCGCATAAAAAGCTATGGCTTAAATCATAGAAAGTAAGGGGTCGTTTGTTGGATGTCATCAAATTTATATATGATAATGTTAAACCTTGTGTTAAATGAAATGGTAAGTTATCTGCAATGTACGTCATCCATGTCGGTTTTTTCAATAGGACTATTTGTCCCCAATGTTACTTTCTTCAGTTTTTAACTACAATGGCAAATTCACTGATGATTTAAATATCTTTGTTGCTCAAGGCAGGGAACTTTGCTTCCTGCTAAACGGGAAATAAACATGTTAAACTGCGAAGTTAATTTGTCACAATTTGTAACATTTGTTAGTTGTATAATTGTATGTGTAAAGTTTAGGGAATTAGTCCTGCAACTCACTTAGAGGGGTATTTTTGTTGTTTTTAAAAATGTGCTTGGAGTTAGAAAGTCGATGAATTCGTCTATGATCTACTCTGAGCTGGGTAGCTTTCCTTTACTATTTAGACGTCCGATTGCCATTATAAAATATTGTCTTATATTGTTGGAAACTGATAATTGCATTTTTAAATCGTGTTATAATGAACTTGTAGAGCTGAGTGTAAACAAACCTAGTTGCAAGATATGTTTTATATATAGTCAAACAGGAGCTAAGTAGTTAAGGGTGTTAAGATGCGTGGTCGTCTAAGTATATCCCTAACGAAAAATATTTTGTCTTTATATACTAAACGGATACATGTTTCATCCACGAGATGAGAAACAGTTTTGAAAACTCGTAAAAAAGTGTATGCTATATAAACACATTGTTGATATATTTATACTGCAGTCTTTGACTACTAATTTAAGTGTCGCGACTGGTAGATACCAAGGTGTACCTATGCCCTGCCTACTCAGATATAAGCTTATATGTATTAATTAAGCCATGCCGGCGCCTCTCTGTATACAAGTTGAATGAATTATTTGCAAATGAAAATGTAAAAACTTTAAGAAATTTTAGTAAAAGAATATCGCTACTAAATGTTTGAAATTATATCACTTATTAGTGTCTTGATCAAAATAAATGTATCAGTATGCATCAGAATTGCTGCGGTTGTGTTACTCGCCTTCTTGTCGATATACATGTTATCATATTGCTATTTATCTTTTTAATCTTATATGCTATGCAGCATTTTGAATTGAATTGAATATTCAATGGTAACCAGGTGTTGCAGTCCACGGAAGATTAGCTGGTTATCCCTGTACAGATGTAGAGACATCGTACTTGTTGGGACAGCTGTTCTATTTACTAATCTATCGCAGAAATGTTTTAAAAACATTATTTAAAATGTGGGAAATTAGTTATGTATAGCTGGGCATGCATGTTTTTATATTGCTATTCCCAGTAAAGTGAAACCTTATGTTTCATTATAATTAGACGTGCATTGGTATAATTTTCTTTTATTGTCAGCCTATGGATGATATTGTATGCTCTTTATTCCTTACATATCCCTTGACAGTTGTCTCAAATACAGTGGCTGACTTATTACCCATTGCCTTCAAGAAAAGATTGGAGCATTCTAAAACCAAGAAAGTACTAACATGTCAAAATAACCAATGACATACGTGTATGTACATCACACATTTAGATCACTTTTTTAATTTCCAAGGCTAACAGTTGTGTGAATTTGAAAACGGACGGACTTCCTAATTATAAAGGTTTAATATATTTGGTAACAAGCTATGAGTAAGCTGGACATAACAAAACAAAATGTATTTCATGTTCGATGTCATTTCTATTACAAACAACACATCGCCGTTTTACCTTTTTTTCTATACTTAGCGTTGGAACTTTATTAACCTATATTTAATGAGGATGTTTTGGTGACTAACCACAACCCCTACGTATTTGTTGTGGTCAGTATACATTGGGCTATTCAGGTGTAGAACCATGACCACTTCATTCAGGCCATTATTAATTTTACCTGTAGCAGTTCCCCTAGGTTATATATTGTAGTGGTCTAGGTTTAAGTTACTAACAGAAACATTAGCTTAAACATTAAATATCAACTTTACATTACTTCAAAGCCGACATATCTAAATTTTCAAATCTTTGAATTGATTACTTGTGCTATGATTTCATACAAATGTTTATAACAACAATACACATCTTATTTCAGATTTCTGTCATTCATTAATGTTTTAATTTGAATATTTCAAATATTTAGATATATTCTTACAGTTTTAATGTATAACATACAATACATGATACAGTTAAGTAGACAGATCAGTAGAAATAAGTTTCAATGTCCATGACATGTTTGAGAAGTTTAATTTACGATGCAATATGTTATGATCTTGTATCAAACCAAACGAATAACTTTTTACTTTAATTAATTTCCTTAACAATGTGCGATAGCTTCATTTCATATAGGACTTTCATAGAATTTCACTAGGTATATCCATAAAGTACATTGATCACCTTCTATGTAAACATTTTAATTAATTGTCCGTAGACTATATACGTAAAATAGTGTTTCACCAATCTGTACAATGCATTATCTTATGAATGACATCATACATCAGACAATTAGTCGGTCGGGAAATTCAAAACCACAGAAAGAAAACAGTGCAAATCCAAATTCACAAGTTAAGTACTGCCTACATTCATGATTCTCACAATGTTATTTGTATAAATGATTTGTGTGACGATAAACGACAGATATCAGTTCATTCTGGGAAATCTTTACATTGTATACATGGTATATACTCAGATCAGTTGCTGTGCTTGATCACTGAAAAATAGGATTTTTATCTAAATACTTATCTAATTTAACTATTTATTTGAATATGTGCACTTTAATAATGGAACAAAATCCCAGATTTTTAATCCATTTCACTAATGTACCTGTTTAAATTGTGTATTTGGAATATAATGATGTTTTATAAATGAAACAATTGTGTTAATCGCTTTGTTCTAAACATTTAAATAATTGTAATTGTTTTCCTTTTAGGTGCCTTCCTTGTGCCCTATTTCCTCTTTCTAACCATGATAGGAATTCCTCAGCTCCTTCTACAATTTTCCTATCCCCAGTACTCCAGTAGCGGACCAGCTGCGGCTTGGGCGTGTTGTCCGCTCTTCAAAGGTAAAGGGCCATAGTGTATACCTAGAACTTATATTTATAACTAATAGAATTATAAACCACAATACACGGACTTGAATTAATCATCCATTACGTATCTAAAATGAGGGACATAATTCTGATGACGATCTGGAGATGTTTTAAAAAGTTTAGACTATGATAACTTGTTCATGTAAAAACGAAAGTGTACTTAATCCACTACTGAATAAAATCGGGTTCACTTGCCATTATCAATGTGTAAGAAAAGTAACTGCTTATAATGAAACAAAGGTGGCTGTAGGTATCGGATAATTGCATTCGCCGTCCTTGGAAAATTAAAGGAATATGGTGCACCGATCACAGCGCTAGTTAGAGCATATATGATCTATACTTCCTGCTTTCCTGACATCTCGTTTATGCCTCACGTGTTCCTATTTTTGCTTTTGCTGCGTGTGTGGTCCAGTGACCGATACAAACTCTTTAGAACCCAAAATGTTACTTACTGTTTAATCATTAGTTTTAAATGCAAAAGCGATACTTTTGTGACACCAGTTGCAATTTTTTTATGGAACAACATCCCTAATCCCTAAAAATAATATGACTAACCGTGTCAATAATTGAGTCAAGTATTCAAAATGTATAATATGTAAATATAACACCTCACTGACAACACTCGTCACATAAAATATAATAAAGGGCCAAGCGGACATACCTGACTTTACACATCACATTAAATATTCAAGCTACATCTAAGGCACACAAGGTCGTCATTGTGTAGCACAAAGAACCGTGACAGTACTCCTGTTTGTAACCGTCACATATATAACGTGTAACCTACATCCCCGACCGTACCTGTCAGATTAAACATTAAGTGATCTAAATACATGTCTGTTTCCATCCTATTAAACATGTCAAGGTCCTAGATAATTACCTGATGATCTTGTCATCTTTTGAAATGATTCTTAGGCAGACGCTTGCTTGAATAAACACTATAGCTTTGCAGGTAGGGGGTAAAAATTGTACGTGCTCTGCCTGTATCACATGAACGTAAGAGGCGACTAAATTCTCTCTTCTCTTAAGATCTTTCCTCCGAATGTCTCACGTTCGCTATGCGAGGAAAGCATTGGGTACTGTCTCCTGACCGAAAAGCTACTTACCATTCGTAACGTTCTGCATGCCTTTGTCAATACATTGTGACCGTGTGGGTGTGCTGGTAGTGCAACATGCACAGTTGTCGGCACATCTCTCGTCCGTCACAAGTATACTCCGGGATATGCTATGCACAAAAGTGGTAGCGGATATGAACAGAACACTAATCCGTAACATAAACAATGGAGTTGAAGTATTTTCAGTCCTAATCCAAACGTTTCCACCTGTGAAATCGCTATATTATCACAGTTTTATATTCGCTTATCTCCAAAATTGGCTGTTCGGAAGCCACTATTTCACCTGGACGCCTAATATCTACAAATAATATCACACTCCTTTCCCTTGTGCAAATCTTAAATATTAAATCTGCCGCTTCTTGCGAAATTCATAATAATACTACAAGATTTTGTTGAATGCAAGTGCGTTTTTTTTTTCAGGCACTTTATGATTTCAGTCTATAACCCAGCTTGTTAGTATCCGATCATTGTTAAAGTATTGCGTTTAGCTATCATAATCAAACCTGAAATATACTTTCATTTACTAGCATGCCTATCCAAAACCCAGCTGTTGCGGGGACATTGAACCGCGTAACAGGAAAACAATTGTAAGATGGCTATGTGATGCAAGGCTATTTTTTAATTGAGCAGGTATTGGATACGCAATGATCGTGACCAATTCGGTTATTTCCCTTTATTATAACGTTATCATCGCTTGGACCTTGTACTACCTTGTCAACAGTTTTTCAATACATTTACCCTGGACTACATGTAACAACACATGGAACACCGGGAATTGCTACACTCGGACATATGAATTGGAAGCAATGACTAGAAACACGAGTAATTTGTTGTACAACATGTCCGTCTCTGAAGAATGGAAGCTTGAGACGAAAGTAACGGAGATGTCGGGAGACAGAAAAACTGCCACCGAAGAATTCTGGGCGTAAGCATACATTTACTGTTTTTATATTCCCTTAAATACCCAAAAAATACCTTTTACCTTCTCTTTGTTTGGAAAAATGCAGGAAACAGTTCATTTGCATTTTTTCTGAAATTATTGGCCATGTACGAGATATACAGATATAACGGATTGGTTATGAAAGATATAGACTACACAAACATATATATATATATTTATAAACTACATTACAATTACATTAATAGTAGAGAACTTAACATTTCCTCCGATTTCTGACATATAATTGCCATGGTTACCAACTTCAAAAATCATGAACATGCAAAATAAAAAAAATGCTAATATTTAACCTAACACTACAACTTTATAGAAGAAATTTGTTTCTGAACATCTGTTTTGAAATCAATAACATTTTTGTCATAATATAAAACTTTCACCTTCAAAACATGACGACGTCTAAACACTATGAAAATTTCACATCCTATGTAACTGGGTTTTGGTGTGAAGACATTCGAGACTGCCCGAATAGTAAACTCTACCAACATGCAAATATATTGTGGAAAGTGTGAAGCCTCACATTGTCCACTTAAATATAACAAGATCAATTTAAGCAAGGATCTACTTTGTTTAAATTTAATTATAACCTTTATAATGGGTGATATTGTGAACAATAATATCAACTGTGCTGCTCCCTTATACAGCCCAATATGCATATATCTGAATTTCATTTTAATCCCTCTGAGTGCCAATAAATTGAAAAGACGAACAAATCGATGTATTGCAATACTGTGTATCTCCAATAGCCATCGAGTAATATAGATTTTCCCGTATGGTGTATTTTTACCAATTCTGCTGCTCTCAAATTGGGAATAAATGGAGGTAATTTGAAAAAAAAATACTCTTGAATAAAGTTGCAATTGAAACTGAATAGAATATTTTGTGCTTCCGTGAGTGTAAAGAACAGAAACCTATTGATACTACGAATGTATGGTCTTAGTCATGACATCATATTTACTGTCAACAGCAATATGACATCAATTGCTATTGATGACGTCACCAATGCAATGTGATATTACTATGAAAGCTAGAAGTCCCACAAAAATTGCAAATTAGCATCTGAAACAATTCTCAGAAGTTATGAACAGTGATATGACATCACAAACGCCTGTGCTTACTGATCCTATCCTCCTTCAACTATGATCATCATACCGGATTCGTATCTTGCTTAAAGAATATTTTACTGCTGCAACTATGTAAATGTCATTCATTGACTAGACTGGCATGGTTGTATGCTCAATCTATGAGAAAAACATTCGTATTACTTCTGAGAGGAAGCTCAACATATTGTGGTTAACCTACTGCTTAGTATAATGAATCCGGTTATAGTGTCCTGCTAGATGCCTTCCGACAATATTTTCCAATTTTGAAGTACTGTTATCCCTGCATCAGTTCCGTACTATCGTTCAAACTTATCGTAATTTGTAAAGCACGCACTTTAACCTCGCATACATACGCGTCCAAAAATGTCCAATAGAGTTGTTCATTGGTGTTAATTATGCGTACAGCGTGATAAACCTGTTTTTTTTTTAGGTACAATGTACTCGAGTTAAGTGATGGTGTAGAGACAATGGGGCAAATTCGCTGGCAGTTGCTTCTTTGTAACTTTTCAGTATGCTTGCTGCTTTACCTCTGTGTCTTCAAAGGAATTAAATTATCAGGGAAGGTAAGTAGGAATTATGCAAAGGAAGTAAATGCATTACGATTAGTGATATAATCGGCACTTTAAACATAAAATTAAAGATGTAGACATTGTTACTGTTTGTCCCATAGCGAACATATTTTCACGGTTATTTCATTTATGTATTGACTAAATTGAAGGCAGAAGTTTCTGCTCAGACGTATTCATGATGTTTGTCATTATGCGTGTTTAACACCGCAAATGAAAGCGTAGTTGATCAAATCATAAAAAAAACAGATGTTGGTCTACTGATTAAAAGCGAAAGGTAAAAAACAGTTATCGGTTATGTTATATATTTTTCAGATAATGTATGTGGCCGCTACAGTACCTTACATATTTTTGACTGTTCTGTTGGTGCGTGGTCTTATGTTAAATGGAGCATGGCTTGGTCTTAAGTATTATTTTGTTCCAAGATGGGAAGAGTTGCTGCGTCCTTCGGTAAATTCATGATTTTAAGACGACTTGAATTTCGATTCAATCCTATATATGGACATGCTGTAATATGATGTGACATTTAGTGCTATGCGTCAGCTTTGCACAATAGCCAGTTGTTGATATGTGGGATGACACAATAAAATGATTCTGTAGTAGAACATTCATATTTTGATACCGCCTTTAAATATCTGACTGTTATGGCGACATAAACCACATCCGCTTTCCATTATAGAGAACGTAAATGTATTTGCAAGAATCTTTGATCTCATGGAGGAATAATGTTTACATTTATGAAATATAAATTGTGTTATTTGTGTAAAACGTCTTTATCCGACTTTTGGCAGGTTTGGTTCGATGCTGCTGCACAAGTGATATTCTCGCTGGGTTTTGGCACTGCTGATCATATAATACTGGCCAGTCACAACAAGTTTCATCATAATATATACAGGTAGACGCATATTTGTCCTATTAAATAATAGTATTAATTTCGAAATATTGCATGTTCTGCTCTCGGTATAAATACAATTTTTTGTATAGTTTACCACCATACTATGAAACCGCCATTAACATTTTGTGGAAACGAAACCACACGTCAAGGGATTGAAGGCGTTCTTTCAGTCTAGCATTGGGTATGGTAGTTTACAGAGCTGGAAAATCGCATATTCTTGAAGAAATATATTTAGAAAAAGGTGAAGATTGGTCATAAGCTCTTTGGAGTTTTTAAAATCCACCAATTAATTTTACTTCTTGAGCAACAGTATCACAATAAGGTTGTAACCCGGATTTCATAGTTCTAAGAATGTGACAAAAGTTTTGTTTAACAGCTAGACTGAGCTAAAGACCATTACACAAATACCAGTGAATAATGGCCTGGTTACGATGGCAACCTAAATTACTTTTATGAAAAATCTGCAAATTTTATGTGTTTACATCGTTTATACAATGTAACAAATAAACACATATTTGTTTCTTCTGATATGGAATATGCCTCCTGGAATACATTCAGAAATATATTAGAACAGGCATCCATAGAAAGCCTAAATATATTGAAAGAAGGGTCAGAATATAAATATAAGGAATAACTGAATGGTGATCAAACTGCACAAGAACGAAAACGTTCCCAAGAAAAACCACAGTATTTAACCATGAAATAAAATAGAAAATTAAAATGAAGATAAAGACAATCTAGGAAGAAATCCAGTCCAACAGGTTTTTTGTAATGACAGTTTTTGTGGTTTTTTTGTGTTTTTCGTTCAGATAAAAACAAGATTTAAGATATATTGTTCTATATTTAACGTCCAATCAGCTGCTATGCTCATCTAGAAAATGGCTTCCTTATCTGAGTGAGCCAAGTGATAGTGGTTGGAGGCTTATTGATGTGATCGTACGGAATTGAAACAGACTTTACAGTGCTACCATACTGAAGTACACAGCCGATGGCCTCTCCATCTGTTAATACTATACTAATAACGAGAGAACCAATTGTTACACTTTTGTTAGGCTTATAGTAGGAAGCAGTAACTACCATTTGCATAGACTCTGGTGTGTCTCGGCCAAGGAACAGAATCTAAAACGTTGAAGCTCAACTGAATTATCCAGGGAGACATTGGGAAAATTGTTGGCCTAAATGCAGGGTTAAAGCACGTTTTAATTAAATATCTAACAAAACCAAGACAGCTAATAACGTGATAGTTTGTCTTTGGAAATGTTCTTATTGACATTTAACCTAAATAGATACCATCAATTGCATTTAGTATTTCTAAATGGCAAGTTTAGTGTATGCCAGTTTGCTTGACATATCTAGTTCTTAGACAGGAATGGTTGAGAATTTGACAGTTCATTGTCGTTGTTTCCATCATGCTCTTGAGGGGTACTTTCTTTACGTTAAAGTACTATGAAATTATATGTCTTTGATCTTTTTTCATACCACGTAAATTTGTTATAAATTTGGATCTCATTTGAGGCCATACTAAGATAACGTTAATTGACTAAGATTTACATATAAAGATGTAATAAGAATTAATACTTTATGAAGTATGTCGTATTTTATCATTGCATAGTGTATGTAAAATATATAACAATTTGTCAAAATAGTTCGTTCACAAATTTATTCGTTAGCGACTTCTCTTTACAACAAGATTGGACTTTATAATGAACAAGCATGTAACACATGAATCGATATTAATTAAGTAAGCTGAGTAGAGTCATATGCATAATAACCTGATTGTCAAATTTATCGGCTCTCCTGTGAAACCTGTTAAATAAATCAATAGTCATTTTTATAGATTGGAATGTTGTTACTTCTGATCTTTACAAAGACGGATGTTTGTTTGTTTAATGAAAAAATGCATGATCGACAGCTGAACCTTGCTGGTTTATAATTACAACACAAAATACCATACAGCGCTCGCTGAGCTCGCGAATAAAAGGTGGTCCCACTAGTCGATGTTACACAAACTTCGGAAACCCCTTACACAAAAAAAATGTTAATAACACACATTAAGTAGGCTTGTTTACATGTACATATATTGCATTATCTCAAGTGCTACATGTTTTTTCTGACGTCATATCAAAGGAAGAATGAGGTGTATAATCATTCGAGAATTTGCTGTGAAGTCTGAATATGACATACTTTATATTGTAAATGTGTCATCTCACTGGAACGTCTACAGGATTTTCCGACTTTCATTCGGCAACGACCGTTACTGGAGACGAATATATAACCGCGTTATCAATATATGTGCACGATGTACTTGCATAAGATATTGGATATTAAATATGAACATATATAAGGAATGCAAACCGAAGATATTTAAGTCCGCCATGCACACGGCGTCATTAATCCAAGGTGTTCGGAAAAATGTTGCCTTGTATTTTCAACTCGCAAAAAGCGTAAGAAGTATTTAGCAAATCAAAATTTACTACGTCAAAAGTTGTTCAGCATTTTCTCCAAATTTATGAAAGATAATCAGTAGATAAATGCCTCCACAAATAATGAAGATATGACAGTTTTCCCAACACTGACGTCACAATGTGTAAAAATGCATATATTGATAACGCGGTTATATTTTCGTCTCCAGTAACGGTCGTTGCCGATGTTGAGTGGTTAAATGAACCTGGCTGTTGATTGACGGTTTAACAATCTAAACCAGACCAATGTATAAAACGTACAATTGCATTATTAAAATTTCCTAATTTTTTTATAAGTACGTCAATGCAGATTATATTATATAAAATGTATACGCAGATCTAATGCTTGATCAAATCAGACTGAGCCGAATCACCACATAAACTATAACGGCAAAGCTTTCGCATCAAGCCTCATTAATATTTTATATATTGTAAATATTTTAATAATGCTTTTAATAATTTTCTTGTTTATTCAGAGACGCCATGATAGTTCCCATTGTTGACGCTGTCACGAGCCTCTTCTCTGGGTGTGTCATTTTCGTTACTCTTGGATATATGTCGTCAACTTTTAATTTGGATATACAAAAGGTGGTATCTGATGGTATGTATTCCTATTACACCATATTTACACTTAATTTAATCAAATGCCATTAGATTCTGTACCTCTCTCCTGAGGTTTGCCATTAGGCTTCGTATCATGTCTAAATTCGAAGAAATAGCGCACTAATTCAGAATACATGTAAAGGTGTGTGAGAGACTGCTGTGTTAATAAATCTTCATGATGCTTAATAAATTGCCTAGATAAAATGTCAATGACGTAATAAGAAAAGTGATTATGTAACGTCATAATTGAACGGGAGATCATAACGTAGTTGATATGATTCGTAAACAATACTGTTTAGTTTAAAAGTTCTAATAAAAATAATTTCCTTTTCTCTTCTTTCAATGGGATTATCCGAATAAAGTTTGTAAAAAGGAAAAGTTTTAAATGTTTTCTTTCCGCAAATGTCTAAATGATCACTTAGTTTAGTTTTTCTGTATTCTGGAGATTTGATGTGCTGTTTGTGGACTCGCACGCGTGCCTGTAGTTCCTCCGATATCATATTCGTCGCAACCGGGGCTTGCAGTATATTAGGTTTTTAGATGAGCATGATATATTCGCATTCGCTGAGAATTTTATTCCTCTGAAATGGTGTGTCTCAAGTACCGCACCGTTGGTCTCCACATTTTGTTACACAATACCCGATCTGTTTATAGTTTGAACAAAACTTGGATTTTTTAAGTCTTTTGCTGTTGATAAATTTGGTTTCTTCAAAAACTTCTTTCATTGTTTCATCCTGTTTTAATAGTTCCTGCATTTGATACCTGTAGTTGAAATGTCTTTTTTTCCTGATATTATGAGTTGTGACGAAGGTTATTATAGTTTCATTGATATCTTCCTTTTCATGTATTTCTACGTGTTGTTTTAAGTTATTCTAATATATATTGTAATGCCGAGTGTAAAAAAAATAATGTAAGACGTGGTAGCGTCAATTGAGGTATTTAATACATGTAATATTAATTATGAACAATTAAAACATAGGCTTCAGCTGCACACAACTCATCACAGTATCACTTCTTACAAAAACAACATAAGCTGGAGTACCTGTGTACGTGTACGTCCGTCTAGTTCTCGGGTCCCAGCTAGAGAGGGAGAGAGTCCCTACCAATCACCTGTACACGTGTTCTCTCGTCACGCCCTAGCACACACGGCTAAGTCTAACCGCCACTGAGTGGGACATGTACCGCCTACTAAATCAGTTAATGAGCTAATGTTTAAAGCATTGCACTATTCCCCCCTCTTAAAAGAATTCGTCCCGAATTTTCTCTTAAAAAATAACTTAACATTTAACAAGAAATGAAGGAAGTTGAAACGTTCTTATAATTTAATTTCTGGATTAAACTGCCAGGTATCCACTGTCTTTGATTTGATCGTCCTTCCATCTCTCCTATACGTTGCGTGTTCCCTCGTCAAGGATATTCGGAACTTAGACACATCAATAGGGATGATAGGGCCCGCGAGTGTATATGGTATCTGGGGATTCACCGGCTTTCCATCTTTTCGTCGCGACCAATTCGCTCCTTAGACCCTGGACGAACAGACAGCCTATCCGGGGCAGGAACCATATCTCGTTACCGTTCGCTTTCCGCCGAAGATTTATCCTTGGGCGGCGAGGAACTTTTCCCGTGCTCCCTGCCGATATGCCGCAGGAGATCGTCGGAACGAGAAAAGCTCTTGTCTTGTTCCTAGACCCCTCTTTCTGGTCTTTGGTCCGCTCGTGCCGTTTGAGGTTGGACATCGTAGAGAACCCTTCACCACATTCTCTGCACCTTACCCTATCCAAACTCCTCCTCTTCACTAGCTTCACAGGGGACCTTGATCGAGACCTACCCATCCTGCAAGCAAGATGTGCCGGTCTTTGACGAGGACGGCCTTTCCTGCCCGCATCCAACAGAGATTCAAATGTTTTCGCCGAAACGTTAACACTATCATTGACATCGACATGGTCATGATTGTTCGCGTCGGTCACCAGGACCCCATTCCGATCAGGGAGACGATCTGAATTTCGGCTGGATGTGTGCTGACAGGCTTCGGGAGGGAAAGGCTTAAGCCGATTGAAATGGACGACTTTGGGCTTTCCAGGACCTGGATCTGCCCTCACGCGATAAGTGACTTCAGACAAACGATTCAAGACAACATGGGGTTTCCAAAACTTCTGAAACTTTGGGCATATGCCTTTTTTCTTATTCGGAGTGAAAAGATAAACACGATCCCCGGGTTGGAATGGTTTATTTATTGTGTTTTGATCATGGTGTCTCTTCTGGATGGAAGATGATCTACGAAGAAACTCCCTTGCAAACTCGAACGCTTCGTTGAACCTTGATTGGATTCTCCTAGCAAATTCGGTCGTTGTCTGAGCCTTAGAGGGAGGCGGAAACATTACGTCGACAGACAGGTAAATTTCCCTTCCCTAGGTGAGAAAATTGGTGTAAAACCATAACTTTCCTGAACGCTTGACCTGTACGCCATCAACACATAGGGTAAGTATTCATCCCAAGCATCTTGATTGTGGTTCTCAATATACGCACTCAGCATCTGCACCAGAGTCCTATTAAACCTCTCCTCGAGACCATCTGACTCGGGGTGAAAAGGCGTCGTCCTCGTCTTTGCGATACCCAAAACACCGCAAACCTCCTTCATGACATTAGTCGAAGTTTCTTTCCTGGTCAGAATGAAACTCGAGCGGCAAACCAAAACGACAAAAGAACTTCTCCACCAAAACACTGGCTACTGTATTTCCTTCCTGATTTTGGATGGGGAACGCTTCAACCCACTTCGTGAAACAATCCGTGACTACCAGTATGTATCGACTTCCTGTTGCTGTAAACGGCAATGGGCCCAGAATATCTGCTGCGACTCTTTCCATCGGTCCTTCGCTCAGGTAGATATGCATAGGGGCTTTCCTCTTGGGAATAGGGTTTTTTCTTGGAAGTGCAAACAGGGCATGATGCAATCTACTTTGCGACGTAGGAGGCGAGGCCTCTCCAGAAGAATCGATCCCTCACTTTACGGACGGTCTTCTTGTAACCCAGATGTCCCGCGGTTTTCGCGTCATGCAGTTCCTGGAGAACTGTTCGCAAGAGTGTACTAGGGACCAAATAAAGATCTTAATAATCGGAACCGGATTCATTCTCCCATCTCCTGCAAAGTACCCCGTCTATCACGCGCAGTTGCTCCCACTGGGCAATATAGCTTTTCAGGTACGTGGACGCCGCTGGGAAATCTTCAGATGATGGTTTCCTATCGTTTGTTTTGTGTTCCAGGAGAAAACTTAGCTCATGATCTTCTGATTGAGCTTTCCTGATATCGCCTTCTATGATGTTATTCAACACTGCTCTACAATCTGGCTCTGACGTCATATCGCTCCCCAAAACTTCGTTGTAGTTGCTTTTCTCCAGCCCGCACTGCTTGCATGGACGTCCTGACAACGCATCTGCATTAGCGTGCCTCTTTCCAGGTCTATGTTCTATTGAAAACTGATATGTGTCCAAAGTCTCAATCCAACGGGCTATTTGGCCCTCAGGTTCACGAGTCGAGAGCAGCCATCTAAGAGCGGCATGGTCAACGCGAAGCTTGAACTTTCGTCCATAGAAATAATGGCGAAAATGCTTTATGAAAAAAACCACCACAAGCATCTCTCTTCTCGTCACGCAATATCTTTCAGTTTTAGTGAGTGTTCTACTGGCGTACGCTAAAGGGCGTTCGACGGGAGCGCCATCTTGAATCTGGACTTGTGACAGAACGGCTCCAATTCCGGTATTACTCGCGTCGGTATCCAAAATAAATGTGCGCTCCGGATCTGGATAACCAAGAACCTCTGAATCTGTCAGTTTTTGTTTCAATGTCAAAAAGGCCTCATCGTGTTCATCCCTCCATATGAACGATCGATTTTTCTCTGTCAGTTCGAACAGTGGTCGGGCCATAGTCGAAAACCCCTTGACAAACCGCCGATAGTACGAACAGAACCCGAGGAAACTGCGCAGTTCTTTGACCGTTGTTGGCGTAGGCCATTCCGATATCGCTTTTGTCTTGTCGAGATCAGTGCTAACGCCGGCTTCGGACACCACGTGACCTAAATAATTGACGGAATTCGACAGCAGGTTGCATTTTTTCGGTTTCAATTTAAGATTTGCTCCTCGGAGTCAATTGAATACCTGCCGGAGCCGGTGGATGTGGTCCTAAAATGTTTTACCGAAAATGATAACATCATCCAAATACACTAGGCATATTTCCCAGTGTAAACCTGCGAGTACTCTTTCCATTAGTCTCTCAAAGGTGCTACCGCTATTGGACAAACCGAACGGCATCACGTTAAAATGAAAAAGGCCCTTTCTGGTTACAAAAGTGGTTTTATTTTTATCTGCTTCCTCCATCTGCACCTGCCAATATCCGCTTGTAAGGTCGAGAGTTGAAAACCATTTAGCTGCGGAGAGGCTATCCAGAATTTGATCAATTCTTGGCAATGGGTATGCGTCTTTAATAGTAGCGGCATTTAGCTTTATCGGATTCTGGTTACCAGTTTCAATACGATGTTTGACAACCCCGGTCTTACCTATATCTGTGTTAGATTTCGAGAACACGTCGTCGTACTCACTCAAGAATTTCTTAACCTCTGTTAACTGGTCTGCGGACAGCTTATTTCTGCAACCTTTTATCATTGGTTCTAAGTGCGGGGATATCGGAATACCAGCCGAAGTACTAGCTACCGATGCTACCAAATCCGGTTCGCGTTTCAGCTTCGCGGTCTCGGCGTTCCAAACATCTACGATAGGTTCTGCTTCGGCCCCAACAGTCCCTTTCCGAATCAGTTTGGACTCGGAGCCAAGATTCATAACTCTCAGCGGACTTCGTTCCGACGTTCCGTCAATGATAACCTTACAAACCATAAGATTATGTTTCTGGACGAAATTGTTTATCGGTTCAACAATCATTGATTGCCTCGACGGCTCCTCAGGCTGAACAGGTAGTATCATCTCGTGACCTGGTTGAACCAGAAGGTCTTCAATGACCCTGACTTTGACCTTTCGGGTTTCCATATCTATCCTTGTCTCCGGGTAATTGGGATCCTCCCTACACCTATTGGATTCAGGTAGTAGACGCAAAACGGAAGAATGAACATCAACAGTGCATCTATGGGATTTGAGGAAATTAAAGCCCAGCAATCCGTCGTAATTGATCTTAGCAACTAAGAATGGATGTGTATAGCTGTTTCCGCCCATGGTGATTTCTAGATTGACGATTCCTTCCGTTCTAAGTTTATGCCCCATGACTCCCTTCGTATTCCACGTAACACTCCCCGGATTGGGAATCTTATGACGGATCCGCTCGTAAATCTTTTAGACAAGATATACACACTAGCTCCCGTGTCCACTAAGAAATCCACTCCCATACCGTGAACCGTACATGGAATAAACATCCGTCGTAATACCCTTCACACAAATTGGGTCCTAAATAAGGTGCGATTGGTTGACCCTTCCCGATCACACCTAGAAGTTTTCCGATTCTTTCTTCTGTTTACGTTCCCTTCGTTCTTCCTTACAATCTCTGCTGATATGCCCTCTTTTATTACAATCAAAGCATCTCCTCCCGGCAAACTTAGGCTTGTCCTCAAGTCGCTCCCTTAACAACGTCTTTAGTTCCTGGAATTGAGTCCGAAGCTCTTAAACTTCTTCCTCTAAACGCGGATCTACGTGACCTCCTTGCGGCCCGGTTCTCGACTCAACATCCAAATCTGCAGGTCGAATTACTCTATCAGTCTTTGAAGAACTTCGCTGGGTTTCTGCCTTTTTGATAGAATCAAATTGTATTGCTCTTTGAGTGACATCGTCTAGACTCTTGCAATCAGCTTGCAAAACGTAAAGGCGAATGCTAGGATCCGTTAGCGCGTCAATGAAATGATCTCTTGCTAGGACGTCGCGAATGTTGTGATCTATTCCCGGATAAGCCTCTAATGCCAATCTCTTTATGGACTGACTCAGCTCCATTACCGATTTTCCCTCTGTCTGTCTTCTCGCCTTGAGCTGAGCTCTGTATAACTCACTCCTTTTCTGCGGATGAAATCTCCTGTTCAGTGCTGCGACGACTTTCTCATAGTTTTGCATCTCCTCTGCAGACAAGATTCCAATTGTCTGTTGCGCTTGTCCTCGGAGACTGACGCACAAATATTCCGCCTTCTGTAAATTGCTCCATTCGTTAATACGAGAACACATCTAAAAATATTTCCGTAGTGTAAAATCCGTTAATACAATCGTCGGCGGATTCGTGATTGACGTCCTCACCTTCCTCAACCATTCCACTTCCGCCCTGATCCGTAAGTTGATCTGTTATCCAGCTGTGCATATCCGGATTGTGCCGGCGTAAATCCTCGTGCGCCCTTTGTGTTTCCGTGGCTAGCTCTTCCCGGAGTTTACGGATCTCCTCGCTTATACGGCTTTGGACACCAGTCATTGATTCTGATAACGACATGTTCAAAACGGTACGTCGTTCCTGGGCCAGTGTAGGTCCCACACGTTGCCCCTCTGTAGATTTAAACTATCGGTCATTATCTGGGTACGAGTGTAGTTTTTTTTTTCCGCTGTGTTACGTTTGCATCATCCATTACACAGCGTGATATATAAGAAAATACAACGAGCGTACCGATATAGATTGATATAAGTCAAAATACCGCTGCCACCAATGTAATGCCGAGTGTAGTGTAAAAAAAATAATATAAGACGTGGTAGCGTCAATTGAGGTATTTAATACATGTAATACTAATTATGAACAATTAAAGCATAGGCTTCCGATGCACACAACTCCTTACAGTATCACTTATTACAAAACAAACAACATAAGCTGGAGTACCTGTGTACGTATACGTCCGTCTAGTTCTCGGGTCCCAGCTTGAGAGAGTCCCTACCAATCACCTGTACACATGTTCTCTCGTCACGCCCTAGCACACACGGCTAAGTCTAACCGCTACTGAGTGGGACATGTACCGCCTACTAAATCAGTTAATGAGCTAATGTTCCAAGCATTACAATATATATTAACATAGTTAGTTTTTTATAAGACAAACCTATGGACATATAGATTAAGGCAATTTGTGACCTGCAATTAATTCAATTTGGAGAACAGCATTTGCCTTACTCAATACACCACTAAGTAATCGTTCACAATATTCATATTCGAAATTTAGGTGAATTATTTGCAGTTTCTTTCTTTACACCCGACGTCCGTGGTCGATCGTGCGTCGGTATAAAAACAATGCGTGTCAAACTTCTTACGTAAGTACCCCTGAGGACCTAGTGGTGCCCATGCAAATTTTGGGTAAAGCCAAGAAAACAAATCGGTCGACAGGAGTCGTTCTTGGATTTTGACAGATGAAGTTTGTCATCGCTATTTCTTGGGAAGGACTGATTTCGAGAGGAGTCTTTAAGTAAATCCAATAACAATCATTCAATGACGAGCACCAATATCCCAATGGAATATTTGTTTTGCAAGATATTTCATTTAAAGAAGATAAAATCGTCTAAATTAATTATAAGTTTTTACAATGTACGGAATATTTCGTATGTTTTGCAGGTCCTGGTATTGCATTTATGGTTTTTCCTGAAGCACTTTCAACACTTCCCTTGCCTCAAATATGGTCGGTTCTTTTCTTTCTCACTTTGCTCCTAGTTGGAATGGATAGTCGGGTATGTTTCTATTTATAATCCAGAAATGTTTATACTTTAAATGAGTAACTATTTTATTTTTTCCCTCGAAATTTTATTTCATTGGCGCATGCCATACAAAAAGCCCCGAAGTAAAATCTGAATGAAGCGTCATTGTAGAATCGAGGGATTTGGTCTTAATGGTCATACAATGCGAAAAAATCATCTTTTGACATAGAGGTAAACGTGAAAACAGTCATCAGAGAAATCTTTCTGTAGATAGGTAGTCATGGTTCAAGTGCTGACAGGATCACTAGCCGACCTTAAGCCGGAACTTTTCCGCTCCAGAGTTTCATTGACGTCTGCTGTTGTTTGCCTGTTGACGTTTGTGTTTGGCATACCTTTTATACATCAGGTTTGTCTTGGAATACGAATTTTTTTATACTTATTTATCATATCTTATTCGATGAATTGTTCTTGATATATAAAGAGGTTGGCTTTAGGGGGGTGCCTCAGGGCATAATCATCATGTTTATTTGGTTAACGCAAGATCTCCCTCAGATTTTAACATATTATCAGAGCCGATAGTATAATTTTCCTCTTGACAATTTTTGGGAGGATTGCTGCCTTTTGCTTGCTCTTCCAAATTTCAAATCAATATTCAAATTTAATCAATTCGATTATGATGACGTGAATTGGCTATTGTCATTCTTCAATACAGTACATGTATATGTTTTTATATTGTTCCATTTCGCGGTACCCTTGTCTGTTAAAATATAACCAATCATGATGAAAAAATATCAATTGACAAGTAAGCACCGTCGATTTGTTTGCAGGGCGGAATGTACGTGTTGCAGCTGGTGGACTGGTACATTGCTAGCGTGGCATTGCTACTTATAGTCTTTCTTGAGTCGTCTGTCCTCTCCTGGATATATGGTAAGAATTCAAAATAGACAGTCAAAATTTTATTGCAGCTGAAGACGCTGTGTAAAATGCAACGTTCTTTGATATGATCTTATGGTGGCCGTTTGTATAAGGTCAAAGAGAGAGTTCCGAATATCTCTTTAAATGTCAGTACCTGCATGTATACCAACATCTACCAAAAAATATAAAAAACATTATATATTGACTTGAACGGAAATGTCCTGCATAACTTTTGATGGTTAAACCCCTGGCTATGCTATGTTTTCATTCAGCTGTCTGACTCGTGGTGGGTCAGGCTGTATCTGTAGCCAGTTTGTCCTGTGGGATGTCATAACAAATCACGTGATTTTCTAGTTTCATCATTCTAGATATTTAGAAAACTGATAATTGCTTTTAAAGTTTGAATAAGTGATTATGTAATTATTTACCTCTTACTGAGCTATTAATATTCAGAATTATAACAGTATATGTGACATTTGCTTGAACGTTCTGATGAATAAAAATATAATGTTTCAAGTAATGATATTCATTTCTGGAATTTTATTTGGCTATTGAATAGGATCCCAGAGATTACATGAGGATATAGCTGTAATGATCGGATATCATATACCGAAGTTATGGCAAGTTTTCTGGAAATTTGTTACACCAATCTGCATTCTGGTATGTATAGTAAAATGTGTTCACTTGTTCTGTATAACCTAACCGAAATGAGATATGTTGAATGAGATTTCTTCAGACTGTAGTTCGCCCTGTTCGGTGAGATACGAGCTACAAACTGGAAGTCGTATTGCAAAAGCAGCTGAATCTTAATGGGCCTTTTAAATAATGTTTGTAACTGTATTAGATTGTACAAAAGAGAAACTTTTTTCTTCAAATTCAGAAACAGTCAAACAGTGCTTTAAACATCATACGGCTGTATCGCCCTTCTAGGGAAAGGTATGGGATATGATTAAACTATTCAGCGGTAAAACATCATTCAAAACAATGGGACATCTCAAAACAAATGGAAATTAGCAACATCGAAATTTGATCTTGCAAATGCTTTAGGATGTTCGTTTTACACAAATTCGTCTGCAATTATTTTAGACCAGACCACCACCGAGACGAAGTTGTCCTTGCCCGTCTTCGGATGGGCCATACATACCTTACGCTTTCATGTATGTTCAAAGGCGAAGATAAGCATTGGTGCATAGGATGTGATAAACCTTTCACCACCAAACATTTTTTTTATTGAACTGCATTGACCTTCTGTCTAATCGTGATTTTTTATCGTAATATTAATATTAGTACTAAAGACTCTTTTTGAAACTGTTGACTTTAATAAAATTCTGTGTTATCTGAAATATGTTTGTCTGTATTATAGACTATGACTTATAATCTTTTGTTTAATATCATTATTTCAACTTTTAAGCAATTGTATTTTACCTTTTAGTTTGTTTGATGTTATGTCATTGTTTGTTTTACCGGTTAATGTCCCTAATGACCTTTTGTTGAAGGGCCGTTAAGAATGTCATAAGAATATTCTTTGAGGCTTAACTTCAGAGACCTAATTTCTTGTTTCTCGTGGGGCAGCAATTAAAGAGATAAAAAGTGAATGTTGCCTTCATTGCAACAGATATTTTCTGTTCGTTTTTTTATATATTGGTGTCCTGCATCCCCGTCTATCCGGATGTTGTGATGATCTGATATCAAATAGATCTCGTACAAAAAACATCCACAAAATTTTAGGTCAAACTAAGCATGTAAGAGAGATTCCGTCATCACAATCCATCTTTCTATTTAATTACAGTCAGTAAATAAAAAATGCATCACTGAAAAGAATCAAGTTAATTCCAATTCTCTTTTGTTAACGGTTTTTTATTCTTGGGCTTTCCATTAATAGACTAATTGGATGCTTTGTCTATATTATACATTTAGATTATATGGATAATGAGCCTTGTCAAACATCGTCCTGTTACGTATGGTGGCAAGACATATCCCTCCTGGTCTATTGGTGTAGGATGGGTTATCGCCCTTGTGCCATTGCTACCATTAGTTGGGAATATCATATTTATTCCTCTTCAACATGAAGGAAACCTGAAACAGGTAACTGATTTTATCCAAAATGTTTTTATTTAGCTAGGAACATTTTGGTAGTCCTATTGTTCAATTCACTCGTCATTATTACATGTATATATATTACTGTTTTGCGAGTAGGTTTTTTAACGACGAAAAGAATTATACTAATATACAGATCTTTCGTGATTTTTCATGTGAAGGTCGTTTTTGTTTTATTTTGAGACTCTCTAAAATATTAGATTACCATCGAGAATTTTGAAAGGTAAATATTTTTTCTAGATAAAATGGAAAAGACTACCCTGAAATTTCTGGGCGAATTACATTTCCTTCAGTTTAAGAATAACAAAACAAAACAAAATAGCTGGAATATGGCTTTTGACATCTAAAATTTGATTTTGTTACTTGGCCCTGAGTTGTGCCTGTTTTCATAATAAAAGATAACCAACATGCCACAATAATCATAGTCCAAGCTCTTATTTGATTAAACAATACCAGAAAATACCAGTGTTTCATCGACGACATCCTCTTTGTAAGCATTGATCAATTCAAGTAAGAAATATCACGTTCTCAAATGAGAACAACATATACAACGGAACCAGCATCAAACGAGCATCACTTAAGTCAAGCTAAATATCGCATAAAGAAAAAGAAATATTTCTGAATGAGAACACTATGACGACTTTAAAACCTCCCCATAATTTTCATCAATCTTCTTTATTTGAAATCTTGTGTTACGAGTTTATTCGTCAGTTGACGTAACTCATGATAATTGGAGCAAATAACTAGTGCGTTTTATATGATAGAAGGTACCAAGATACAAAGAAAAGATGTGGATAAATTTATTATATCTATATATAGGGGTAATTTAGAAATACGTTTTGCATCAGTTATATATGTTAAGAATAGTATATTACATACGTCGAAATTTCCCATTGTTCTGATTATATAAGACATTGTCTCGTCAGATCCACAAATCTTGTTGAGTTCATATTTCCAAATTTTGAACGGCCAATGCATATAGACCCAGAATATGACATACGTGTCTTTGAGGATGCTTTGCGATATTCGAAATCTATTTTTTTACAAAAATAAACACTCTTAAACCACCGGTACATATGCATTATACAGTAATAAGGACATTTGGTTCGGTCCATATATGTCCACAATATATGTAAATTAATATTTTCTGTTTCACTTACCACTTTACATAATTGTTGTTGTTTCAGAGACTGCAGAAATCGGTTAAACCCTTACCTGAATGGAGAAAGAATGACCGGTTACATCTAAGTTCAAGTCAAAATGGCGACATTTTATTGAATTAGACCAGTCTTTATTTCTTGAAGTTACAATGTAATGTATATCATATATATTTAGTGGTGGCGTTGTAGTTGTTTTGAGATGTTTTTTCTCTAAACTGAAAGGTTTCCTTGTATGTCCTCGGTGGACTTTTAAAAGTAGGTTTATGGATCTGCTAGACCTTCATATCTCAAGTTATAAGAGACTGTTCATCACCAAGGTCTCAGACTAGCTCTCGGAGCTTTTAAGACCGCACCAACAGTAAAACCTCTATGTAGAGGCTGATGAACCATCGTTATATAGCCGTCGAAATAAATTGGCTTTGCAATATACCATTCAGCTAAAGTCAAATCCTTCAAATCCTGTTTTTTCATTTGTACTTGATCCAAAATACAAAATCTTGTTTCAAAACAAACCGAACACCATTCCACTATTCGGTATTCGAATATTCGCTCTTTAACAAAACACAAATAATAATATTTACCGAATTTCGTCATTTGGAACGATCGAAATACCATCCTGGCTCATGAATTCACCGGAAGATGACTGTTCATTTCATGAAATGGTTAAATCAGACACTGACAGTTACACCTTTTGTTCATCTTTCTCAAAAGTGCATTAAGAAATATAAAAACTTTCTACATTTATATACTGATGGTTTAAAAGGTTGCCGCGGATATGATTACACAAGATGAAGCCTATGGAGCTGGCTACCCAACAACGCCTCAATATTATCGCGCGCTTTTGAACATATTCAAACAAAGTAATGAGAGCTGTTTTCTATTCAGAGTCTCTTTCTGTACTACGAAGTCATAGCACTAGAAACATCGAAAATATTTCTTAATACATTAATAACATATCAGGAACGTGCCTTTAACTTCCGTACTGCTTTTTGCTGTGTTCCCGGGCACATGAGAGTACCAGGCAATGAAAAAGCATATCGTGCCTCAGAGGAAGCTTTATCGCTACCACCTGTTTTTTTTTAAACTTCACTTCACTGATTTTAAATTATTTATCAAAACATTTTTAACAGCCCAGTGGCAGAAGGAATAAATCAATATACTAACAAAAAAATGCACTCCGCTTTTGAGACAAACTCCGAGACGAAGTTGTCCTCACCTGTCTTCGGAAGGGCCATACATGCCATACCTTACACATTCATATATGTCGAAAAGCGAAGATAACCCTCGGTGCATAGGCTATGATGAGCTATTCACCGTTAAACATTTTTTATTGGATTGCAGTGTCTACTCGAGAATGATTTTATTGTAACATTACATGTCTTAAATCTCTTTTTGAAACGGTCGAGATTTGTTAAATTCTACATTACCTGAAAGATGTTGGTCTATATGATGGACTATGATGAGCCATTCACCGTTAAACATTTATCGGACTGCATTGACATGTCTATTCGAGTTTTTTTTTATCGTAACGTTACAAGTCTAAAGACCCTTTCTGAAACTGTTGAGATAATACAATGCAAAGTTATCTGAAAGTGTTCGTCTATATTATAGACTGTGACTGGCCATTTTTATCTTTCGTGGTAATATAACCATTTAAGATTTTTAACTTTTTGTTTGTTTCATGTTATATCCTTTTTGGATTTTTCGCTTTGTGTTTTAGCAGTTGATGGCCCTAAAGTATTGATGTGTTGGCAGGCCGTTAAAATGTAATGATAATAATAAGAATATTCTAGTAAGTCGTGGTAATAATTGGGCCACTAAGTGTCACTATGTTATAGTGAAGAAGTTAAATACTGCTTTCATTGATGTCTGCTTGAAGGTGAATTGAAGTGGGTACAAAGTGACAGCGTCAGTTAGGCGGTGTCGTTTAGGATATTACTTCATTGCGGTTATTACGGAAAAACGGTTTTCATTTTTAATCAAATGAATACACTCGGAAAAAAATATATAGAGTAAATTGCAGTCAATTAACTAACATAGTAACAAATATTCAATAAAACTACAAACCAATGAAATATCTACCAGTTATGGACAACGAAAGATAGATACGCCGGTCGTTGCAAAATTACAAACTTAAAACACAGGGTATTCATGAAGGAAAAACATCCTCCGCTTCACTAAGGACACCAATTATGTATACCTTGGTAAATTCCGGTAGCTAATATCACGTTCGTAAATTGAGTACCATCAAGAATAACAAGAAGAATAGAACACATCTAACATCATATAAACACATCAGTGGAATTGACTGCATCGAGACTGGAATTTAGTCCTGATCACAATCATGATTAATCTGGGTGGCATAAATTATTTTTTAAATGTTCTTGAAAAGCACATTTTTAATTTCTTTATAGCTGAAACGTTTTTAATCAGCTGCAACTTGGTTTGATTTGTTTTGGAAATAATGTCCACAAAATTTTGCCTTTAGGAGTGGCGATGCGATTAATGTGGTGGCTGGAACTGTGATATTGTAACAGCCAAGTGGTATAACTCAACCACTAATCCTCGTAGCGCAGTTGACTGCTACGAAGAAGTTTGAATAATCATTCTGATTGATACCAGTTCCTTAAATAAAACTCTTTGACTTTGTTAAATAAATGTTACTCTATAAATGAATGTGTCTTTCTTCATCTTGGATCCTTTCTTCATCCGTCTAGAGTCCGCAACATTGACTTATGCTTGTATTTCTGATAATGACCTTTGCCGAGAACTCAGTTCCATACAACTGAGGGATAATTCATACCCAGAACTGAACTCCAAAGAGTTGTCTGCCCTTTGACCATTAATAATAATAATATATACTGGACGCAGGCTTATTAAGCCTATATATTCAGACCAGAATTAAAAAGAATTAGCATCCCGGATATGGATCAGTGTGTTATTGTCCAGTTCATGATTATAAATACATTCAGTTTGCCCCCAATGTTTATCCAATCGGGATTCGAAAGTTTCGATTGTTGGTGACGTTACAACGGCATTAGGAAGTGAATTCCAGTGGTTCTCAGTAAGAATACTTCCTCAGATTAAGTCTTTTTAATAGTTGAAGACTGTGCCCTCTTGTTATCTTGTTATTGTTTTGAACCAGGAAATCCTCCGCGACAGCCCCATCATATTCTCCATGTGTTAGTTTTTATAGTTGAATCATATCTCCTCTCAATCTTCTGTGCCTCAGTGTCGGTAATTTAAGAATCCTTAGCCTGCTCTCATAGCTTAGATCTTTCATTCCCGGAATTTGTTTCGTTGCTCTTCTCTGTACATTTTCCATTTCATTTATGTCTTTTTGCAGATAGGGATTCAACACGCAGGCCCCATATTCCATGTGCGGACGTACAAGAGCTTTATATAAAAGAAAGAACGACTTTTTGTCTAAGTACGTGTTTGTTCTTCGGATGGTTCCCTGTATTCTATTGGCTTTATTGACTGCATCATGAATATGTTCGTTGAAATTTAGGTTGTTGTCTGTTATAATTCCAAGGTCCTTTTCTTTTGTTGCCTGATCTAATGTAACCTCGACTCTTCCATTTTCCTCGTCTCCATATAAGTGTAACGGTGTATTATCGGTTATCTTTCCTATGTGCATAACTTTGCATTTGTTCGGGTGAAATTTCAAGAGCCATGTATCAGACCGTTGTTGAAGCATATCTAAATCGTTTTGGAGATTCAAGTTATCGGTATGACTGTAAATATTTGTATCATCTGCAAATAAATATGTACTTGCATTAATAGTTTTCGGAAGATCATTGATGTAAACTATAAAAAGGGATGGACCTAAAACGCTTCCTTGTAGGATCGCACTTGTTACCGCCCTCCAGTCTGACATTTCTCCATTAACTGATACGTGCTGTTTTTGCCAGTTAAGAAACTTTGAACCCATTTGATAATTTCTGGTGATAATCCGTATGCCTTTAGTTTGCCTCGGAGCCGTTGATGTGGGAAGCTGTCGAATGCTTTCATAAAGTCTAAATAAACTGCTCTGATTGATCCCCCCTAATCGATAACCTTTGTCCAATGATCAATAACTTTTAACATCTGTAAAACAGTTGACCTTCCGTTGACGAATCCAAATTGGCGATTACTTAGGAGATTGTTATTTGATCCCCTAGACATACGCGTTTCACACCTCACCTCTTCATCCTGTCACACTACTCCCCCCTTAAAATACGTTCATGTCCCTATGAATAATATACACTGGTATACTTTTCAATATAACATATTTGAATATAAATTATATGAAGAGGTTCATAATAAAGTTGTTGTTTTAACAACGATGAATTTATAAGATGCTGAATAAGAATGTAACTGTCACTTGGAATATTAAATGTAATTCATGGGAACCAAGTCAATGATTAGCACACATTTTCCTTAAGGGTTCTTCTCTTCTTGGAAGTTGGCTGGAATAACAAGAGGTCCAATTTCTCAATTCTTTTCTGTCCTTGTTTCAGGTTGTTAACCACCCTGGATATTTCAATGAGAAGTTTGGTAATGTTTTCCTCAATGTTTGTCCTTTGCTCTAAAATTTCTATTACAGATTCAATCCCAGAAATCTTGGTAGATGGTGAAAGTACTGGAGATGGCGATGCTTGATTAATAACATTCTTTTGGTCTTCTGATGTCTCTGGAAGGTCGAAGAGAGCGAGATCAATGTCCTCCTGAGTAGGCATTGGTAGCTCACATGACGGTTCTAATAAAGCCTCAGGAAGTTCTGTCAGGGCATTAGCTTCCTGTGCAGCATCTGTTGGTTTTCTGTTCTTCCAAATTGATTCACTCTCTAGTTTAGACATTCTCTTGAGATGAACATCCTCTTTTAGAAAGACTGGTGAACTGGATTGCTTGAGGCAATCCAGTCCTTCTAATGGGGCCTCTTGCCGGAGTTCCAATTTCACGTTATGGTCTGGGTAACTAGAGACATGGCGATCCAGATCGTGCTTCCTGGTGGCCCGGAATAAACAAAGTGTACAATAAAACGGTGATGACTCCAAGGCTAAATGGTGCTTATAAATTTGGCTGACGACACGCCTCCTTTCGTCCTTAAACTCACATGACATGCAGGAATATACACGGCC